GGAAAAATGAAAAAAGACCGAAGAAAAAATCCGTTCCTGGACTCCCCTTCCTTGCTTCCTTGTGTTACTGCTAGGGCACGTTCACACTACTTCGGATGGATCCGTCTATGAAGACGGCTGGATTCAGTTCAGAAAATCCCGATAGTGATTATTATTTTTATTATATATATTTATATATATCCTTAATTACTGTTTGATCGTGGTACTTGTAAGTGACGATTTCTAAGTTTCTTCCGTATTTATGGAAACATGTATGACTTTGGGATTCCCATTGTGAAAATTTCTATAATAGGAAAAAAAAGGGCATTCCGATGATGGGTCGAAAGGCATATTGAACAGTTTCCTTTTTGTTAAACCGCATTTTGAGGGGGGGAAAAAGGGGGGAAAAAAAGGCCATCGCGAAAATTTCAAGGATTAAAAAAAAAAGAAAAAGGGATTACATGGGGAAAACGTGCACGCTGCTGTCTTCACGATTTTTTTTATTATTATTATTATTATTTTTTTTTTTCGAAAGGCCAATCGCCAGTCACCCGTGCGTGCATTTTCCTCTTTTTTTTTGGTTTGCTTTTTCTGCAAGGGCGACGGCCTTGAGATGTCATCATCGAACTGACCGACCCTACCTTCTTTTCTTCCCCCGAATACAACGTCCGGTCGTTATAGCTGTATCTGGGCTATCTTTCAGTCTAAATACAGCTGTAATGACCGTCCGATGTATAGGGGGGAAGAAGGGTAGGGTCAGTATTTCAGAAATGCAATATGTTACTCGTCTATCTGCTTCCAGTGGAGTTCGACGGCCTCTACCTTCTTCCCCCGAATACAACGCACAGTCATTATTATAGCTGTCGCTGGGTTTGTGGCTTGCCTCCTGATGAGACCGGAGCGCGCACCCGGTTGAAACATGTAGAGGAATGCGTGCGCGTTTCCGAGCTGGTGTACACGCTGGTTACTTCTGTGCAATATACTGTACTGTTTGGGTGTAAAGAGCAATTGGCCGTTGCTGGTCTTCTATCGTTTTTGGTTGTCGTTTGTATTTGTTTTTGTCTGTCATTGGAATGATGCAGAGCCATTCATCGTTCAATACAGATGTATCATTGGTATCGTATTGGATGAATAACATGTATCGGATCGCTTTAACTGTAAGATCTATAAGTTGGATTAGATACGTAGGATTGCTTATCTATAAGATCTATAAAATCTCTGAAAGATGTATAATTTGCAAAATCTAAAAGATCTCAAAGATCTCAAAGATCTGTAATCTACACTATATGAGATCTAAGAGATCTATAATCCACAAGATCTATATTTAAGATCTAAAAGGATCTGTAATCTACAACATCTAAAAGGTCTATAATCTACAACAAAATCTAAACGATCTACAATCTACAAGATCTATATAGCATCACTTTAAACTGCTGCTCTTTAAGATCTACTATATAGGATTCACTTAAAAACTGCCACTTCAGGCGAACCTCAGTCGATGAAGCTACCTTCCAAGGTTCTTTTTTTTTTTTTTTTTTTTTTTTTT